GTCTCAAGATCAGACAGACAAGTCCTAGCACCGCAATGTAGGGTGGGCTCCCTAGTCAGAATTCATCCAAGTGCAGGATTCTGGCCTGGAGAGAATGCCTTCCACCTGGTCAGTGTCGGCTCTGGCGTTTGGCAATCTCCTCCTGGATACGCAACTTGAGGGCCTCTTGCATGGGTAGATCCAGAGGTGTGTGTGCTGACACTTCCTCACTCACCCTTCCTGGGTCATCGTCCTACGTGGAGGAAGAGTCAGGAAGCTCAGGGCTTCGTCTCTTGCAGAAAGGCAACCTTCCCTGTCCCCAGACAACACTCTCACAGAACTCCATTTGGCTCAAGGCTTCTTGTCAGTACCTGTCATTTCTCAGGTGTCCCCTGCAATAGTGATTCTCAACTGGGGGTCACAATGATGATTCTCCCACTGAGAATCACCGAGACAGAACTGAGATGTGCTCTTGAGCATCGCCTGGCAGTTCTGTGCTCTCACGTGGGGCAATCTTCACACTGGCCCTGAAGCAAATAGTGGCGCTGGGTCTGGCAGTGATTTCTACCACAGCCCAGGACCTTCAGGTGGCAGCTGTTTCCATGAGGCGTACCTGATACACGATAACTGATGTGACCTCTCCATTGTCCGACTCGTATTCTAAGCAGAAGAGCTGGTGGCCAGAAGGCTCCAGCTCGGAGCCACCACTACTGCTGCTTTCACCGGACTCCTCACAGTCTGGGTTGCCTGGGTGGGTAGAACCATCTGTAGGGATGAACCAGAATGAGAGGGAAGAAGGGATGCTGCTGAAGGGCCTGCCCACAGAGAAGATGCAGGAGAACACAGGGAAGAGAGCCCTGCTCTTCTGAGGACCCCTGTGCTCGTGCCCGCTGTGCTTCCAGCCAGGAGGTTTCTTAACCTTGGTATCCCTGCTCTGGGCTGGCTTGATCTTTTTACAAGATAGATGCACAGTGCACATTTGTCCAGCAATAGGATTGGGAGGGAGTGGAAGAGTGGATAGAGCTCTGCCTGGGTTCAAGTCCAGGCTTTGCTGTTTAAGAGCTCTGAGGTCTTGGGCAAGTTACTCTACTTGTCTACGCCTGTTGCCAACCAACAATAAGGAAACCTGAACAGTTCTAACTCGCATTCAACGAACGGATCTACACATGACCTAAAAGCATTTTAAACAACACTTAACAAGCTCAGTGCCACAGGTCAATTACGTGACCTGCACGTCACAAGGAAACTGGGCAAAAGGCCATTTCTCTGGACTCCTCCGTAATTATGTCCTAGTTACTTATATTTGTGCCAGGCGTCTCTGCCAGGCAGCGGTGACACTCGCACAGGACTCGGCGGGACGAGCGGTTGGCAGCCTCGTCGCCGGCTCGCAGGCCCCTCCGACC